TTTTATCTACAGTGCCATTGGAACAAGCTGAGTGGTCAATCCACAGCGTCGGGCAGCCATGGTGGATAGCTCGGGTTTTGCTTATTTTCATTTTGTGGGGTTTTGTTTATAGTTTGGAGAGAAATAAAACCATAGACGGTTAAAGACATGTTTTATGTTACACCATTTTACACCAACATGGACCTGCTTGGACTGGACTTATATTTATGTTGTATTAAGTTACTAATCTATATGTTGGTTATAACAGCATCTAGCAAAAAAAAACCCACAAAAAAAATCCAGGCCCTGTGTTGGACTGAGGTTCGCTTCTCAAGGAGGAGAGATTTTGTTGTCTATGGCAATTTCCTTGTACAGCTTGTATCTTTTTTTTTAATTTTGTTTTGTTTTGGGTTTTTTTTCTGTTTGCAGTATCTTTTGTAATATATTTTTTTGTTTGCAAGACCCCCATCCAAGTACATTCCTGTATAAAGTATTTTGCACTATTTAAAAAAAAACAAACTCATATTGATGAAGTCAGGTTGTGCAATATAATAGATAGTCGCAATGTTCATCATTGTACCTGTAATGTAACTAATTTTAAATGTACTATTTTAAATATGTAAAATAAATTTTCACCATGAGCATGTTTTAATGAGGTTAAAGAACTAGTTTGACCCTTTTTTGGTTTTGTTTTGTTTTTTTTTTTTTGTTTTGTTTATAACATTTTGTTGCTTATTTAACAAATGTGTGGATATATATTTTTCTTTTCTGATTTTTAGAAATTTGTCAGTCTGAAATGACTAATGCAAGAAAGTTTTGGTATTAAATACAGAAGGTACAACCCTCTTTTCAGTAATACCTGTTGATTTCTTTTAACATCTAAAATGACTAGATGGTAATGCATGAATGTATGCTAAAAATTATGTTACCTTACATGGGTACCTCAAGATGCAGAATTGAACACAAGGAAAGATTTTGTGACAGATTTAGTAAAAATAATAATTTGATCTCTGCTGCAGTTTCAGTTAAGAAAAATGATGACTTTACCTGTCAGTCAATGAATGCTACAATGAATTGCATGTTAAGCCAAAGGAATTGCTTAGCATGTCTCTTGCACATCCGCCACGGCCATTCCCGGTTCCTCTCTAACCACGATATGCAGCCACGTGCTCTTATGTTCATCCATGGCATCAGGCTCCTGGTGAAGACTCTGATTTCGTGGCAGCTGTACAGTCAAATTCTGTGGTGTAGTCATATGAATTGTGGCCAGGAAGGCGTGCCAGAATTGAAAGACACATGTATTGTGCTTCTCTCTTTCTCACTGCAGTGAGATTTAAAGTCTTAAATCATGTTTTCAGACTTAAACAGCTGAAACCAAACAGATGCTTGAATAATAGAAGTCCTTTGGGTAAAAAAAGACCTAGAGCAGGTGTTGTCTTCAGCCCTGTCTGACTAATTAGTATAAGTAATAAGACTGATTCTTCTGTTGACAAATACTGTACACAAAATATGTGGTCAATCCAGTAGTGTTGGCACCACGTATTATTCACCGATAGGTCAGGGCGTCCATCAGCCCCATCCTTGACTCTTACCATATTTTAAAGGAAAACATCACAGTCCTGAATGGTTGGACAACTTCCCCTGCTCTGCATATCTTATTTGGACCTCCTCCAGAAACACCCAAATATCAGACAGCACTTACTGTCTGGCTGAGACGCGTAGGGTGCTTTGGAGCTCCTTGTGCTCAAACATGACTGCCTGTGCCAGCTGTTTGCAGTGGAGACACTAATCCTGGTTGCAAAAACAGTCATTATGACCCAGTTCTGTCTTGTGTCAGTGGCAGCCAGCTGTTGGGAGGCCATTAGTTTACTTTTTTTTTAATTTGAGCTATTGTACAGCTTTCATCAGGTGCTGAAGTATAACCAAAAAATGCTTAGGAGTCAGACGCAGTGTTCAGGGGGGAGCGTCGATTGTGTGGAGTGACCTTTGAGTCCTACCTTGCTAACATACTGCGTTTTATTGGCATCGCAGGTGATTGTTGGATTACATGCAACTTGCTTTGTAAAAAGTATCAAGGTACTGTAGGCATGACATGTGCCAAACATTGGGCTTAAACATGCAAATTAAATTTGCATGACTTAAAGGTGGGCAGATGCTTTGAACCTGGATCCCAGCTCATCACATTGCTGTTAAGAGCTTTCTGCTTTGGACAACATACCCCTTCCCAAATCCCCCCCAACCTTTCCACTGTATAAACCAAATGAAATCCATATTAAGAACTGGGGGTATTTTTCCTTAATTTTTTATGTCTGCTTTGATATGCAATTTTTGTTGTCAACACAGCATTGCTCTTACAAAGGGTGACAAGGTCCATTATTGTTTTTTTCTAAGATTAAGGTCATAGGAGCAGTAATTAGGTGTGAAAAGTGTACTGGAAATCATGCCTGCTGCGATGCTAGCCAAAAGTCATGGACTGACTGACGTCCTCTCTAACCAGATTGGCAAAATCAAATGGGAAATTCTTGGTTTTGAGAGGCACAGCATTCTAGGAAATGGCTTACTTCTTGGAAAGTCACTGATGTAGCTCCTATTTGTTGAGCTGTTCATGTTCTGAGCAAAAAATAGGGAGCAACACCCTGAATTTCTAAATTTTTTTTTAATTTGCTCCACTGAGTAATCTGTTAAGACTGTTCTCCTCTATTTATATTTGCTTCGCTGCTTTTCACCAACAAGACTGAGGACCAAATTGACCTTTTAACAGTAGCAAAAAAAAATTTCTATTTGTGGCAACGCAAGACAAAGACCCTCAAACCAGATGACCAAGTTCTAGGTGCCTGGCTTCCATCATGGGCATTTTTTTCCTGCTCCATGCACTGAAACAGCAAGTGTGGCACAACATCTGCTTCGCAGAACTGTTTGGTTTGGTTTTTAACTTCAACTCTCATTGCTTAGATTGAGATAGGCATATTGCCGGTGGCTTTGACCTTCTAGGGAGTTGCAGTAATCACAAATGTGGATGCTGGTTCCCCTTTCCAAATCCTTCCTTCCTGCTATGATTTGCCATTTGATTGCTGCGTTTTTTGGTACAACAGGAAGTCATGTTCATGGCATACCCTGCGCATGAGAAAGCGGGCAGAAAAGGAGAGCAGTGGCAAAAATGAAGCCAATGGGCCACGTAAATCCAAGGATATTCTGGGCAACAAAGTCTCTGTTAAAGTGAGTAAGGCCATCTGAAAGCTGTGTGCTGCTCTCCTGCTTCCCATCCTCTTCACCCCCTACAGCACCCTCTCCTGAGAGAGGGAGGGGGCGGCAATTTTGGGTTTGTTTTTTGGGGTTTTTTTTGTTTCTTTCCACTTTAGTTATCTTTTTTTTCTTTTTTTGTAGTATCCATTTTAGCAGGATTTTTGCATGCAAGATAAAATGCAGCCTTTGTTTTTCGTTTTCTTTTTCCTGACATCCCACATACACGTAAGTAATCTTCATTAAAAAAACAACTATATATATGATTAAATAACTGTTCTTAAAATTGGGACAACGGTGATTTACTGACCTCTGACCTAGCCCAATCTGCAGCTCCATCAGAGCAGCTGCAGCAGTGAGAAAGCCACTGGGTGAACCAATGGCCTGACTGAAGTTGATGAGTTTTATTCAGGCCAGTATTTCACCACATCTTGAGATAAGGGATTCTCAACCTTGAGATGCTTAAGATTTTTGGTCTGGGGAGATGGTCTTAATGACCTGTTTCTTTCCATATTATCAGACAGGGCAGAGATGCCAACTCTGTCTTGCCAGGAGAGGGTCGTGTGTGTGTGTGTGTGTCTGTGTCTGTGTGTCTGTGTCTGTCTCTCTCTCTCTGAGATCTCCCAGTATGGAAAAGGTTGAGAACTGTGGGGTTAAGCTCCATCTTCTGCTCTGGGTGCCTGACTACTGTGCTCCAATTCAGAGGATCCATCCCTATAAATCGACCATGAGGCCTGCTCAGGACTAATCCGGGGCTTTCCCTCCCAACAGAGGCAAGCACACACTTGTGATTTTGACACAACCAAAGCCCAGCCTTGATTCAGGAAAGCACTTGAGCATGTCCTTTGGATCCACCCCTCTCCAGGAGAGCCCGTGATTAAGTGTTTTCCTTTGTGGAGGCTTTCTGTCTTGTCAGCCTAGTGAAATAGCCATGGCATGTGCAAAGGGAGGAACCCTGCCACTGCAGCCCGGGCGCCCCTCGCACCCACTGCGCAGCCACCGGGGAAGGACTGGGCCCCAGGGAAGCGGTTGCTCTGGCATGGTGGCCATAGTTCTTCCTCCTGTTGCTTCCTTGCCGTTTTTACTACCTGACGACTTGCAGAATCACTGCTGCTTCTTTGGCAAAAGCATGTCTTTGCTTTTCCTTCCCTTATTTTGTTGTCGGTTTGGGTTTTGTTTGAATTTTTAAGAGCATTTTCTGTACCGTTACCCATTTCCATGCTGTTCACAACTCCTGTGCTGCTCTGCCCTGTCTAACCAATCTCTCTTCTAATCTCTTTTTCTCTTTCTTCCTCTTCATGCTGCCAAACAAGGAGACAAACAGCTCAGAGGAATCAGAGTGTGATGACCTTGACCCCAATACTAGCATGGAGGTAGAGACAATCATCCTTGTGATTTTTAATTTTTTTTTTCCAAGAACATATGGCTATTTTGATACGCTTTTGCTGAAAGGGAAGCTGGTGGGTCCATGTTGCTCGTGGACATATGTGCCAATTAAGCGTGAGTCACACAAAGCGTCAATTCTGGTTTTGCCAAGTGTTGAACTGGAGTTTGGGCTGCCTTTCTGGTGGGAGCAGTGGAGGAAGCTGAGGAAAAAGCTCCTGCTGAGCTGGAGGCTCACATAACCACCCTCAGCCACTTTTTTCCCACCTGGGACCTCATTCAGTGAAACGATAATGCATGCATGTCAACTGCCGATAAATGTAGCAGCTTTCTATATTAAAAAGGCCCCTGGTCCAGGCAATACATGCTGAGCTGCTAGTTATGCTTCTGTTATAAATCAGTGGAGCAAATGTTGTTGCACTACAACTAGTGCTTTAAATTATCTAGAAGATCAGAAAAGGCATTTCTTTTTTCTCCTAGCAGAGTGGGAAACTGCATTTCTAGAAAGGCACTGAAGGAGGATGGTAAAACTGGTTGCATGAATGTACCTGTATCACAGGCAAGGCTGATGCAGATAGGTGGGCCCAAATTATGATACATTACACTACTCTTTTTCCAGTGTGAAGCCACCAATTCTAGTGGAGTGACTGAGACATGCCTTGTTGAGATACCCCAAAGGAGCTTAAAATCATGAGAGTTACAGATAGATAGGGTTCTCCTCAATTAATATCTTGCAGGGCCCATTTTTTTCTGAGTATAGTGACCACACCAAGCATTTGTATACATTGAACCAAGGCTGAAAGAGCTTCCTACTGAAATAGGCAAGGACGAGGGTCAGAGAGACAGAAGTGATTTTGTAGAGATGACAGGGCAGGTCACTGGAGAACAGAGATGTCTGTGCATCCTAGGAGATCTCCGGGATGCTGTTAGCCAGGTTGCACTATAAACATCCCACAAAAGAAAGATGATCTTCCTCCTGGAGTCAAAAAAAGCAGGAGAAGTGTATTGAGATGCACTACCTCAGCTATTAAGCTGAAGGCTCTCTTTTATTTTAATTGTGTTGGCACAAATAAACACATCTTTGAGAAGGGGATGCATACTAAAGGAAAGCTTTTGACCCAGCGGACATCCTGGAAACTGAATGGTGCTTACCACTAAAGCTGCATTATTCTCAGGAGTGTGTTTGCATTTTCAAAGAGCATTTTGCCAATCACAGGTAACAACAACGTATTCATTACAAGGCAGTGCCCAGTTATTGCACATAAATCTGTGTAAGCTTTAGATTACTGGAAATTGCCCTGTGGAGTCAAACATTGCTGAGATACAGGTGCAATGTACAGAGCTGGGTGAGAATCGCCATTCTTTTTGTGGAGGATTTCTGTGTTTTGATTTTGCTCAATAGGAGGAAAACCAGGTGTTTTTAAATTGTCAGTGGAAGGTATCAGAGTCCTTACACTGTCAGCATTTCTAGTCAGCTCTGGCATGCTCCACATGGGTCGTCTTGTTTGATTTGGGTTTTTACCCTGGTACAGTCTACTGTTCTTGCCTGCTCCTCAGTTCAGGAGGGTACGACCCTTTCTATTGAAACCAAAAGATGCTAATTTGAAGTCTTAGCTGTGATGTGGATCTCCTCCTAGAGGGGTAACTATGTGCCTGGTATGTGTCTTGATTTACATTCAGAAACCCCATCCTGCATCTCCCAGGTCACTTACTGGAGGTGCCTGCAGCCCCCAGGAGCCACAGTGTTTCTCATGGCTTGGAAAGCTCAAGTCTACTTCTGAGCGAACCTCTTTGGGGCTGATCAAATGTTTACAATGGCAAAGGGGCAGAAAATAAGAGTGCAGTTGTGGGGGTGATTTACTAAGGCCACACTGCCCTGCAAGGAGCAGCACGGCCCTTGCTTTGTGCTGATTTTAGTACATCTGCAGCCTGGAGTGAGTGTGGTCAGCTCATTGGTCTGGCTAAGAAATACTGGGGGGGAGGGATTGCTGATGCCCAGTATAAACTAAACAAATTCATCCAGCGGGAGCAGAGCAAGGACAGGCTCATAAAATGCTTATGACGCCTTAGAAGCAGCCATGAGGAAGCCTAGTCTGTAAAGGTCTGGGGTATTCACTACTAGAAGCCACAGTTGCTCTCCCTTTCGCTTCATTATGAGTGATTTGATGCTCCTTTTCAAATGTGTTACGAGAAATGAACTGTATTAAGGCCTTGGGAGCTGAAGTCTTTTCTCATTAAAACAGAGGCAAGGCAAGCTACTTCCACTGCCAGAGCCTGGTTGAGGGCTTCATTTGGTCTGTTAGGCTTTGTGTCCTAGGCTTAAATAACTGTTAAACAACTGTGCCACTCCTCCACCCCAACCTGTGTGCGCAGCAAAAATCAGCATCTCACCTGGTTTTCCTCTCCCTATTCCGTGTGGTACGTCCCAGTGGAGCCGCCTGTGAGCTCCCAGGGAGCTGGAGACGGTGTGACCGGCTGCCCGAGGAGGGGGAAGCCCTTGTCCCCACACCTAGCTCAGCTCGTGATGGATTTTATAGATGCTGCAAGTGCTGGTAGGAGAGCTGTGTCCTGGCCATCGACATTCAGAGGTGCTTGAGGCCCTACCTGTGTCACTAAGGTGGAGTCATCTCCAGCTGTTATTACAGCCAGGTAATAACAGGGCAAGTCACCTGGCTTCTCGTATAGGACTGTCACCCCTGACATCCCTCCTCCTCCCATCGTGCATGAGAACATGCACACAGTGCTGGAATAGAGAGAGCACTCTCTAAATGCAAAGCAGACATATTAATTACTTGGAAATGTCGGTGCAATTTACCTCCAGCGTACTCACTGTGCAAGAAGTTGGTAAGCTGGTTGTAGTATCCATGAAGTCCCACAGCTACTGTGGTCTTTCAGATCTAGCTTTGCTTGCTATATATAAAATACCACATATCTGTTCAGTAGATTCCAGATTTCTGAAGCACTTTGCCTTTTTTCAAGGGGAAACATAGACAGAAAGAAATATGGAGAACATACATAGTTAGAGCAGGAAACTGAAATTCTGGGTGGTTGTTTAAAAGAGCTAAAATGCCATTGCTGTGGTTTTGCCCAGTCATTGTAACTTTGACTAGAAATAGTATCTCTTGGTGTCTGTTTCTTCTCTCTTCATTTATTAATATGTAATGAAAGTGCATAAGGATGGAAATTAAATTTGGCTCTTTTCCCCCTAGTTTTCTGCTTTGCACTGTTGTTCCACAAAACAGAAGGTGCAAACTCACCTGTTAGGCACGTGAGTGTAGGAGCAGGGACTTCAGGAGCATGTGTAGCCACGTGAGGGATAGGAGTAACCTATATTCAAGAAAGATCAGAGACTCCCTTTCCACATGTCTGCAGCTAATTGCATAGGGACAGGCAACTCCAATTATGGGAAGGTGTATGTCCTTGTGAATCAGTAAATATCATCCACACCCAAGTCTGGGGTCCTGGACAATGACGCAACTAATTGTCCTACAGTTCTGTGTCATAACATCACATGGGGTTTCGATATTGCTGAAGGGGTCATAAGTCAACTGTGCAGATCCCATCGGGCTACCTCTCTTGTCTAAGTGAATGTCCTTCCAGCAGTCAGAAAACTTGACTGAACTAAGCCTCACTAAACTCAGCAGCAGCTCTTCCAGGCTTTGGGGTGGACCTCACATTTAGGGGTCTCTGACATGGCTCCAGACATCTTGTTTTGCATAGCGCCACTCCAACTGCAGTGCGTTATAAGTAATCCTGACCAACACACAACTGTCACCGGCTGTCTAGTGTTTGTTCCAGTTTCATAGCTGTGCAAAGGAGAGATGAAGTCCAGGCCCACCCCGAGTCAGTGGAAGTGCCATCATTAGATTAGTGAGCTGGGCTATTGCCAAGGTAAGTAAGTTGGGCTTCATAATCTGTTTTTCTCAGTTATGACATTTTAGCATGTTAAGAACTACTCAGAGACACTTAGAGCAAGATAAGCACTAGGAAACATCCTGTAGGGAAGAATATTGTGTTAGCACCCCCACAGTCCAAGTGGTTGCGTAAGTAATGGTTTGGTGGATACAGCATTGGCTCCAAGTCAACACTCAGCTCAGGCCAAGAATTCCCATGTGCTTTAGGCAAATGCCTTCACCCCCTACCTTGAGTTGTCCATCTCCAGAGCAGATCTAACATACTCTCTTGGCGAGATCTTGTACAATACTGGTAAGAAAGCCCTTCCTGGCCTGTTCTCACAGTATGAACAAGAACAATCCAGAGAACCTCTTGTGTTTCCCTGGCGTGACCTCCGTGGATGACACCACTGTCCTGCTGTCCTGAGTGGTGGCCAGGGATTGCTGAGACTGACCAGAAAGGTGGCTCATCATTGTGACGTAGCTGGCAGTGCAGGTGCGGTGGTTTTTGGAAAAGGAAGAAGTGACCCTACTTCTGCAGGGAGTGGGTAGAGTGCTACAACACAGTGCCTGGAGTACCAGAGACATCTCACACCTACAGCCATTGAAGCACACCAGCCATTAGGGCCTCACAGCAAGAGCGAGACAAGGGCAACAGGACTCCTGCTTTGCACGGATGCATGTACAACATTCAGCATCCCTTGTGGCTTCTCCATCAGTCTCAAAAGCAGCTGAGCCCATCCATGCTGGGTGCCAGGCAGCATCCCCCATCCCTACCAAAAGGCTGTGGGACGTTTCATCTGATACAATTCTCCCATTTTAAATTCTGCTTTCCCTTTGGTAGCATCTATCCATGTGTAGCAGGATCCTTACTTTCTCCTCTTATCAAGAAATTTCTTTTGTTAATTTGTTTGGGTTTTTGGCAGAGGTGAGGTTGTCCCCCCAAAAGTCTCAAAGTAAAAGTTGACCTAGTCAGAGACAGATTGATAGATGTTTTCCTACAAATTACAGTTGGCTTAATCCCTCTGTAACTAGTTTCATTTTTCTCTGAGAATCATTAATGTTTTTCCTTTTTTTTGAGTGAGGGAGCAAGGAAC